GTTTTCACCCAGGAAAAACCCATCGGAGCCACCAGCAGCCCGTTTCTCCAGGAGAAACTGTTGGGAACAGTGCCAAAGGCTTCACCAAGCCCTAGGCAGGCATCTGCAGACGGCAGAGAGGAGTTTCAGCGCCAGCCGCTCTGCTCAGAGCTCCATCTAGCTGCACGTTGGTCCGCGTGCTCCGCAGCCGTGCACGGGACACGGCGTGACTGGAAGCACGTCAACGACTTCTCAGCCCACTTTGGAATTTGGAGTGACCAGTTAGAAAACGGCACAGATCCAGGATGAAGCCGAGGGATGCGCAGGACAGCCAGCACTGCCGTACCAGGAGGAGGGAGCGTTACCGACACAGGGAGGGGGGAGCAGGGAAAGATTTTCAGGCAGAGATCTGTGTTACGAGCATTTCAGGTTCTCTCTGACCCTGTCAAAGATGAGCCTCGCTCCTGCCTCTCCTCCCTCCCCTGCCTGCAGGACCTGCAGCACACCCGACAGTGCAGCAGGGGCAGTCAGGGCCGGGCAGCACAACGTGAGGCATCCCAACACTAGGCCTTAATTAGTCCTTTACCTAATTGCACGGAGGGAAACTCCTGATGAATAAAAGATCCTGTCTTATTGGCCTGCAGCTAACTCCCACCCTATGGAAAGATCACTGGGCCGGGTGCCAGGCTTTCAAGGATCGGAAACGAGTCCAAGGCCATAAGATGGGAAGGGGTTGGAGCACAATTCCTGTGAGGAGCGGCTGAGGGAGCTGGGGGGTTCAGCCTGGAGAAGAGGAGGCTCAGGGAGACCTTATCGCTCCCTACAGCTCCCTGAAAGGGGGGTGCAGAGAGGGGGGGTCGGTCTCTTCTCCCAAGGGACAAGAGGAAACGGCCTCAAGTAGTGCCAGGGGAGGGTTAGGTTGGATAGAAGGGGTTGGAGCACAATTCCTGTGAGGAGCGGCTGAGGGAGCTGGGGGGTTCAGCCTGGAGAAGAGGAGGCTCAGGGAGACCTTATCGCTCCCTACAGCTCCCTGAAAGGGGGGTGCAGAGAGGGGGGGTCGGTCTCTTCTCCCAAGGGACAAGAGGAAACGGCCTCAAGTAGTGCCAGGGGAGGGTTAGGTTGGATATCAGGGAATTCCCGGAAAGGGCAGGCTGTCAGGGTTGGAAGAGGCTGCCCAGGGAGGGGGGAGTCACTACTCCGGAAGGGGTTTCAGAGCCGTGTGGATGTGGGGCTCAGGGACATGGTTAGTGGGGCCTGGGCAGTTCTGGGCTAACGGTTGGACTGGATGGGCTGAAAGGGCTTTTCCAACCTCAACATTTCCATGATTCTGTAAGTCAACTGGAATAAACTATCACTGTGATTGAGACCGTCAGCTTCCAAGTTTCAGGCTGCACCCCCCAGGCTCTCCCAGGCGTGCCGAGGGCACGAGCGCAGGCCAGGCTCTGTGCGTGAGACCTGTGAGAACCACACCCTCATCCTGTGCCGCAATCTGCGCTCCGAGGAACGGCCAACCGGGAAGGACAGCCCGTCCGAAGGGATGCAAGCCTGCGCTCACACCTTTCTTTCCTCAGCCCCACTCTCCAGCCATCCCATCTCACCAGTATCGCAAGAGATCCGTGCTCTCGTGCTAGGGACGAGCAGCAACCGCTTCAAGAGCCGGAACCTGCCGCGCACAACCCCTCCTATAACGTTTCTCCCTCGGAAATACAACAGCTTGGTCCCTTCTGTCCCCAGATTCAACTGGAAAGAAACCCCCTCCACCTGCAGAGCCATGGTTCGGTCCGCCCACCCCACACCGTCCACTCACGCGTGCAAGAAACGATGACTTCGGTGGGGAGGCTGCAGCAGAGGTCGCCGTAAAGCAGCCTCACGTTGAACACGAAGGTCTTGCTTTTACTTGACACGTCGTAATTGAAGACCAGCAAGTTACACAAGGAATTCCTCTGCAAGGTTCCTTCTATTTGGTCCGAAAAGTGTTCCTGAGGGGGTGAAGACATGAAAGCTAGGAAAGGGGTCTGTCAGGGCAGGAGGGGAGCTCTCCACACCAGCATGGCCTTCGTGCTGTGGGGTGGCCGGACGTCGAAGCAGCCTCGCGTGGGAAAGACTTAAATAAAGCAATGCTCACCCCTACGCCACATCCTCCAGCGGCTTTTTACAAGATCCCAGCTATTTCGTCACCTCTCCTATGACGAAAGGCTGCAAGAATTGGGCTTGTTCAGCCTGGAGAAGAGGAGGCTCTGGGGAGACCTTATTGCAGCTTTCCAGTATCTGAAGGGGCTATAAGGGTGCTGGGAGAGGACTTTTTACAAGGGCCTGTAGTGATAGGACAAGGGGTAATGGGTATAAATTGAAATCAAGGAGGTTTAGATTAGATATCAGGAAGAAATTCTTCCCGCAGAGGGTGGGGAGGCACTGGCACAGGTTGCCCAGAGAAGCTGTGGATGCCCCATCCCTGGAAGTGTCCAAGGCCAGGCTGGATGAGGCTGGGAGCAACCTGGTCTAGTGGAAGGTGTCCCTGCCCATGGCAGGGGGGTTGGAACTAGCTGGGCTTTAAGGTCCCTTCCAACCCAAACGATTCTGAGATTCTATGATTCTATTTCAGCCTAGGGATCTCCGGAGAGGAGGACAGCTTTGCGTTTGGCAGATTTTACACAAGCCAGATGTTCAAGTACGTAAAAGTCGATGAAACGAGCAACTGAGTTTATAGTCTCACGATAATTTGTGAGGTCGTAAAAAACCAGCACCGGGAGTGCTCCACCAAGAAAACGGCCAAGATGCCCCCCAAGCACTTCAAAGGCTCGTTAGCACTTGGTACATCAAAGGGAAACGGTACCTGTAACTGGTCGGCCTGGTACCTCCTCCCCGCGTAGGCGTTCAGGTGGTCCGACAGGACAGACACGAAGCGCCTGATGTCCGTCTGCAAGTACTTCCTGGCCATCTGCTCCAGGGGGATGAAGATGGGGATGGAGTGGCGGTAAATCTGCATCTGTGGCTTGATGAGCAGGTCCAGGTAGTAGGAATCCAAGTAGGTGCCCTCGTAAGCCGTGCTGATGCAGAAACACACTCCTTGCTTGGTCAGCTTCCCGCTGATCCCTTGGGCCCGGAGAGAGGGTTTACTCAGCGGGACCCTACCCCATCACCGCAGGGCAGCCGTGCTGAGGCCACACAGACTGCAAGAGGGGCCGCGGCCTCTTCCTACGCTGGCTCAGGGAGCTCCCCGGGAGGATTAGAGACTCGCAGGAGCTTAGGGACATCAAACACGGCAACTTTTTAACATGGGACCTCAAACAAATTCAAGCAGCTTAATGGGAGCTGAATTTCCCAACGACTGCGTTCTGCTGCCACTTCCAAACACAGTTCTAGCTCCAGCGTGCCCTGGGTGGAGGAAGGTAGAGCCTCCCTGCCCCAAGGAGAGCAGCAGGAGTGCTCTGGGTGGGCTCAGCCCGCTTGCACCAAGGCAGGGCTCACATTCCCAGGCTGTCCGGAATGGAGAGCGGAAGTGATTTGCATTGGAAAGTGAAAAAAGTACAATCAAAAGCTCGGGAATGGATCAGAAGAGGGTGTTGACCTCACAGACTTGCTTGGAAGACCCAAAACACTGGACATCTCCAAGGAGACTTTATTGCAGCCTTCCAGTACCTGAAGGGGGCTACAAGGAAGCTGGGGGGGACTTTTTACAAGAGCAGGGAGTGACAGGACAAGGGGTAACGGGTTTAAACAGAAAGAGGGAGATGGAGATTGGACATGAGGAAGGAATTGTTCCCGCAGAGGGTGGGGAGGCCTGGGACAGGTTGCCCA